AATCCATATATATAAAATTCTCTATCGATCTGTATATACAATATTCATTGAGAAATGGAACTACAAAAATTCATGTCATTAAAACCGAACTGTGAGCAAAATTAGTTCTATCTTTTGTATATTATAGTAATTAGCCTGCAAGCCAATCCCTGAAAGGGCAGTTCTATAGAATCACTATAGGAGAGGGTGGAAAATAATGTAAATAATTCAAAAATGTTTCTGAAATAAACATTTTCGAATTGATCGTTTCTGTTCATCAATGTAAAACTTACCTTCAATTATTTGTCTTTCATGGTAGTCTTCGGTAGTTCTTTTGATTTCCTCCTGAGATTCTACGTAAAAAAATATGGACGCTCCCAATAATAAATAAATAATAAATAGGCAAAGCAGCACAAACCACTGCTTCTTGGACATCATTCTCAAAAACGCTTTCTCCTAAAAAGTAATTGTTACTAGATAATATCATATTTAGAGATTGTCCGTAGTACATTTTCTGTGATTCTTGTGAATGATGCATTGAGACGTTGTTTCATTTATTTAGTTAATTAGTTTTTGAGCTAAATCCCATTATGTCTCGAAGTGAATTTTCCAAAAGTGGTTATAAAAAAAACAATATTTTACTAACAATATTTGAAAGATTTAACGAACACTTTTTATGGGGAATCTGATATATATGATCTGAACATACACAGAAATATTTTATAAATTTCCTATGCTTTAGATTATATTCGAGGAGTACTAAATTGAAAATATATATTATATTACCGATATATTTATATTTTTACGGATTTTCATGATTAATTTATGTTTTTCAACACTTCATAATTTTTATTGAAATCAAAAAATCAAATCAGGAAACCTAATGAGTGAGATACATGCAAATGTATCTTCAAGTGTCGTTTTTCATTATTAGATATAATTTTTATTACTCTACAACAATATTATAATGCTATTTCCTGAATTTCAAATAGCGACAAAGAGGAGACAAACAGAGAACCGGGAGACCAGGTTATCGGTTTATTTTCATTTTCCAAATTCCGTCATCAACTGATTTATAGTTTCAAATCAAATTAATTTAAAATAAAAATCTGAATTTTTCGCAATACTTTCTCGAATAGTAAAAACCATTAAATGATAAGTAGAAATCTCACAATTTACAGTTGAAGATTATGACATTTCTCAGAAATTCAAGCTTTATTGTCACATTGACGAACCATTCGAATAACTTAAAATGTGTCCCTCTAGACTTATGAAGTATTGATGTTAATAACAACGCGATAATCAAATATGGGAATTGATAGAGATATTCCAGCTTTCCAGCTAAAGTATTTATTTCAAATGAAACCAGTCATTGGAAAATAGATCTGAAAGACCAGAACATTTTGAAGTTCATCTGCAACTATTAGATATTCATAAAATCTATGAAATGATTGAATATAGAATAGGTCCTAGATGGGAACCCTGCAGCACTATAGTAGTTACTTCACTCAAATAAGTTATTTTATGAATTGATAATCAAAGTGTAAGTTTATAACACAAGAGAGAGTTATATATCCAAATGGAGAAGTAGAAAGCCGAAACCTTTCTTTCTCAAAAATTAATCTCTCCTTAACATATACCCCTTTCAATTGAGAGAGTAATGTGTTGTGAACTGTGTAAACGGTCCCATTTTTGGAGTAAAAATAATAATTCATTAATTTTTCCAAAGATGTAGGGTGCATATAGGTTTTGAGACTCAAATTTCTTTTGAAAGTTTGTTGAAAATGTTTTGCCCCAGTAGGTGAAGACTTTCAGACGAAACAATTTTCCTTATTAATAGTATACTTGTGTCTATTTGCATATATGTACACACAAACATTTCGAAAATAAAAATACTAACAGGTGTCAAAATTTGGAAATTTTCAAAAGTTGGTCTGTAGAAATCTACTAGAAGTATTAGTAATAATCCTCAATATACGTTTTTAGACAACGAATACGTCAGGTGTTCGAGTGGTTGAAATTTATGAATGATGAATAATCAAGTTGGCCAATTTTTTCGTTTTTTGGGAGCTGTTTTGTCGAGTTACTGGAATACACTGCAAGTCTCATGGGTTTACTGCGACTAAGTTAGCCGTATTTATGACTTTATCGTTTTCTTCAGTTAGGTATATCCTTTTCTTATTCAATAATGAGCTGCCTTCTGAAAGCAACTTGTTCAATAACAAACATATCATCTGATAATGCTCAACAAAATTATAAAAAAAATATATTTAAAAAAATAAACACGCGAAGGAGAATAGTTTTCAAGTGACACTGAAAACCTTGGCCGCGAGAGCTTAACCATTTTGATGTAGAAATCAATTGGAATATCGGGTATGAAACTCCTGATGCGGAATCTGACATTGACTTTGACATTGTCAGTGATGATAACTGGAAAATCGCGGTTTCATTTTTCCTTTTGCAGATGGATTAGGAATCGTAAATGCATATTCATTACCATTTGCATGTGGTTGAGTATCTCCACTTTTAATTTATTCCTGTGTCTTTTTATTTTCCATTCAAAACAAAATCACACAATATTTTCATTTGAACGAAATTATAATAATAGATCAGTTTTCAGTTTCAAAGTTTCATTTCCAAATGCAAGAAACTCCACCGGATATTTGATAGATAAGGAACACAAAACACAAGCACTGCAGGAAAGGCCTTAAGGCGCTTTAAGAGCGGTGTCTGTGCGAAAGTAGTGATTCACATTGGATTTGAATCACTGGAGATTAAATCCATTTAGAAAAACGTTCTCAGGAAGTTTATTCCACATAAACGCAGTTCTTCAGATGAAACAGTTCTTAAAGACTGAAGTTCGAGGTGTACCGAGTTGAACCTCAAAACGATAAGTAGCCACAGTCCGTCGCATATTTCTGATATTGTGAAATCAAATATGCCAAGTCACTTGAACACCTTCTGTGAAAGTATATATTGAAGAGAGGCAAATCTCCAACCTTTCTTCGATGTTATAGGCTATCAAGGTTGAAAGTGACTCCTATCAGGCGGATGGCTCTTTTCTGTATGGAATCCAGCAGCTTCAGGGTATGCTTAGGGGCGGAGCTCCATACATGAAAACAATACTTCAAAGAAGGTCTGATATAAGCTTTATAAAACTTCAAAAGTTGCTGGGGTGTGTACAGTTTTCTGATTCGGAACAGTGTTCCAAGTTTTTGAGAAGCAGCCTTTGCAATTCCAGCGACATGATTGTACCAAGACATATTGGTGTCAATTTTAACCACCAACAGACTTATTGAAGAAGTGTGTGTGTGTGTGTGGTTTAAATTTTTTGGCTTTGGGAGAACCAATTAGCCAGACTGTTTCAATATCGGATCCAATGATCACTTACCCCACGGTGTGGGGAGTGGTCATTGGATCTTATTAGATGATTGTATAATAATTTGTATATATTTCTTTTGTTTGAAGTTAATATACAATTTAAGTTTATTGGAAAAAAGATACTATGAAATTTCAATTCATAGTTAAGGGTATTTATACTATGAATATGATGCGAACACTCCAACATGATGTGATAGAGATCGCCATAACGTCCACATGAACATAGAGGATTATCTGTTAATCCAATTTTGAATTTGTAAGCTGGGCAGATAGCGTGATTTGATCGTAAACGGTTTATTGTATTTATGTATTTTCTGTCGCTCTCTTGTTCAAATCATCTATTTCCCATAATCTTTGGGCAGAGTTGTTTGAAATTGTTGCCTATCTGAGATTCATTTATTTTGCCAAATTTCATTCAAATCTTTCTTGTAGATTCGATTCAAATCGGTATGTGGAATAAAAGTGTGAATGGACTCTTCTCCTGTTTCAGTGGCTTGCTTTGCTAATCTATCTACTACCTCTTTTCCTTTTATTCCGGAATGTTATTTTATTCAAATTATAGATATCTTCCTATTTTGTAAGAGAATTGATTAATGAGCTCTGGTGATTTCTATTTCCAATTCAGAAAATTGGTTAAGATTTCTAAAATTTTTCAGTCGATCCACGGCACTCTTGCTATCAGTGAAAATTATTGACTGAATGCTGTTTTGTGTATCGAATCGAAGAAGAAAGTGGGGGTGTTAATTCAGGTGAGTTGTGAGTCATTTTATTCCAATTAGACCATTTTCTACAGTAACACCCTATAAAATCATACTGACTTTAAAGAAAACATCATATTCAATCGATATGTGATAAATATTTGAAATTACTTGGGTAAAAGTGATATAAGTATCAATAAAAACGAGGAATTCCACTTTAATTTCAATAAATAGAACAACATTTCCAGGCTGACTAATCAGTTTGGTTTATTAATGCATATTTCTTTTTTCGTTTTTTACTATCTATTTCTAATTACAGTTCAGCTTGAACATTGACCTTCAATCAAACTGGGTGAAAAATGTATTGATTTACAGTGAGAATTATATTCAGTGAAAAATATCAATTAACGCAGTTGTTTGCTTCATACCGATGAACTGGTATTATTAAAATGGATTTCCACCAAACGGACTCGCTTGCAACTGGTTTCGTTTTCAAAAACAGAAACAAAAAACTTGTTTTAGTTTCGAAAACTAACTTTTATAATCGAATCTTTTGAGCGAAAGGAGGAAAAGCATACTAGGTGAGATCATTTATGTGAATTATGGATTCTAAGAATGTCCAATCACGAATTTGAGAACTTGTCAAATGTACCGGGACCAAAATTTTTCAAATAGAATACAAATTACAGTTATGTTATCTAAATAGTTGCATATTCTGTTTACAAAAACACAAACATATCCGAAACCTTTTGATCTTTCCGCCTGCCTACGGGACATTTTTTTGTTGACAAAAACAGTCGCCTGCGACAAAAAATCGTCTTCAAAATGTTTAATTCGACAACTCATGTTTTTGGTTCGTCAATATCGACACTGTTGCTGTTTCGTTGTAGTTTTGTCCGTTTAGTGAAAATCTGTCTTTAGAACGATCAAAATTCATTATTGTATCTGATTGAAATTCTATCTAAATACAGCAGATGAAACATTTTCCCAAAAAACGAGGAAATTTTTACAAAAATAAATTATGATAGTCGATCTAACATTTTCATAGATTCTGCATAGTATACATTCCGAACATACAGGATGCATATAAATGTTGGATCGACAGATCGCTTTTATGTGTCATAATAATAAAAATATAGTCGTATTATGTCGATGGATATAGACCGATGGCCATCGACATAGACATAACGCGGTCCTAAGAAGAGTGCTGTATTACCATCTACGGCACTCTTACGGTATTGACGAGACACCGGTGTTGCTCTACGCTCCGGGGGATATTTAATCCGTTGTGGGGAACGATAAGTGCCGAATTTATTGGAACTATTCGTTCCCCACCCTCAGGTTCATACAAGCTAATAAGCCTGATGTAGTCCTTCTCGACCACCAGAATGAAACGATATTTGTCGTGGAGTTTTCAGCTCCTGGCGAGACGAATATCGTCAGAAAAGAGGAAGAGAAACGGATACAATCAAGATTTTCTCTTTGAACTACGCAGACTCTATCCAGATCACTCTGTCAAGATGGTGTTGTATATGTTCATTTGTATTTCACACTGTATAGGTCATATTTTACCGATGTGTGTAGACAGTGAAGTCTGTCATTCCGTTATCACTTTTGTCATATGCATTTTTGTAATAAAGTATTACGTATTTCTTAACAAGAGTTTACATATACAATAGATGGTTGTTCTGATTATTTTAGTCCTTGGTGGAATGATTTCCTCTCTACTCTACCGGCTTACCGCACTAAAGCAGAAACCATAGCCGGACAAATGCAGAAGGATGTCATTCTCGGCGTGGAAAATCGGACATATTTACCTTGTTTAATCCATCTCTAGGAATAACATATCTCAATTTTGTAGCAACATAAATTCAATGTTCAATGATGTTTTTAATTTTTCACACCATTTCCATCGCCTTGGAAAACTCGGAGGAATAACATCTCAATCTGCACAGATGCAGAAGGCTGTCATTCTTGGTTCACTGCGATTGCTCTGGGCACATGATTCTCGGATCCAATTATCATTTACCCCACGGTGTGGGGAGTGGTCATTGGTTGATAATACAGGCGCGCCTCCCGAATGTATCGGGGCTTCGGGGGATAGGGCCTGACCACCGCACACTATGGTGGAACAAAAATAATAATGTCTGATGTAGTCCTTTTCGACCACCAGAGCAAGACGATATTTGTCGTGGAGTTTTCAGCTCCTGGCGAGAAGAATATCGTCTGAAAAGAGGAGGAAAAACGGATAAAATATCGAGATTTTCTAGTCGAACTTCGCAGACTCTATCCAGACCACTCTGTCAAGATGTTGTCCTGTTTTTTGAAGTCCTTGGTGAAGTGATGCCCTTTCTACTCTCGAATCTTAAAATCATACCGGCTTGCCGCACTAAGGCAGAAATCTTAGCCGGACAGATGCAGAAGGCTGTCATTCTTGGCTCACTGCGCTTGCTCGAGGCACATGATACTCGGATCCAATGATCACTTACCCCACGGTGTGGGAGTGGTCGTTGGTTGATAATGCTGGCGCGCCCTCCCGAACGTATCGGGGCTTAGGGGGATAGGGCATGACCAGCGCAAACTACAGTTGAAAAACAAATAATAATGATAACAGACAATGAAATAGATTCCATGATTTTTAAGAAAACTCTGATAACATTCTCTTTGATCTCTTCTTTTAGTCACAAAAAATAGTTGTTATGATTTCTCAAAAATTAGTGCGAGAAAATGCAGGAACTTTTCAATAATCCAGTATATAATATTAAAATCTTCTAAATGATAGGTGTTGACAAAATATATGTTTGAGATACAACATCCTGTAGAATATTGTTGAATCGATAATAAAAATTAGCAAACCCTAATTTTATTTTTTTTATACCTATAGTGATGAAGGAATACATGCAAACAATTACTGGAAAATTGTAATCGAAATGAATTCAGCAATTTGAATAACACGATCCAATTAAATAATTCCTGAACGAATTGTTTCAACAGTTATTCTTATCACATATGACGGTACGCTTCATTATGTAGGAATGAAGAGCCATTAAAATAACTTCTCGGTAATTTTGTTGCAAAAAATATTATGGGTAACAAAATATACTTGTTGAACTATATACGCTGTCTGTTCAAAAAATAAGGTGTATTTTCATTTTTCTCAAAAAATATTCATTTATTCATCTATTTTTATTTCGTCCCCTTCAAAGTATTCCCCCTCACTTGTGCCAGCGTTTTTTCAAATCCTCGAAGCAGTTCTGATATGCATTTTTTTATGTCCTTGAGATTTCTCAGCGATACGATTTTTATCTCCTTAATTTTCGCAGAATGCCGTCCTTTCATGTGTCTCTTCAATCTTGAGAATAAAAAAAGTCGCAGGGTTCAAATCTGGTGAATACGGTGGCTGAGGCATGATTTTTGTCCAAAAAATAACGAACAATCAATGATGAGTGAGCTGGTGCATTATCGTGATGCGAAAGTCATGAACTGTTTTTCCACAATATCAGATTTTTAAAACAGAGATATACCATGATTCTTCACCATTTATGACCCTTTTAAGCAAATCCGGATCGTCATTCAACAATTCCTGAGCGATGAACATGTGACGTTTTGGTTGGTAAAAATTTTGGAACGAACTTCGCTGCCACACGCTTCATGCCTGAAATTTACAAAAAACTGCATGGCGTGAACCAACCGAGAGAAATTCGACGATTTTCCATCCTCATCAACAGGTCAAACAAACATAAAAAAGATAGAAAAGTCAATATAAAACATACTTAAAAAAAAGTTAATAAACTACAATCAAATTAAGATTCAAGGAGAAACTCATCCACAGAGTAGTATGCTTCTTGCAATAGAAAAATCTTGAGTCGCCTTTTATCGATATTGATATTTGAGGATTTAATGTCTTCACTAAGCTTATTATATAGCTTAACCCCAATGCACATGGGGTGATTCTTTGATACTGTCAATCTACTATAAGGTTGATGTAGTTGAGAGTTATTTCTGGTGAAATGTTCATGGATTTGCTCATTTCTAGGAATAATTGAAGTATTGTTCTTTATGTCAATCTACTATAAGGTTGATGTAGTTGAGAGTTATTTCTGGTGAAATGTTCATGGATTTGCTCATTTCTAGGAATAATTGAAATATTGTTTTTTATATATATCAGTGTTTGGTAGACATACAAACTAGGCATTGTCAATAAACTATAACGAACGAATAATGGCATGCAGTGTTCAGTTGAAGATGCACCAGTCAGAATTCTGATTACCTTTTTCTGAATAACATAAACTTCCTCAGCTTTACCTAATAAGCCCCAATGTTCAAGGCAATAGGAAATTACTGACTGAATTAAACTGTGCTATAAAAGCTTGAGAACATCAAGAGAGACTGTAAATATATATGTTTACTGAACTTCAGTTTGACACTATCAACATGGAACTTCCAGGTAACTTTATTATCAATATCAACACCTGAGAATTTAGTACAATTAACTTGATGTAAAGTTTCATCATTTAATCTAACCAAATAGCTTTTATCAATTGTTGTATTTTTAGTAACAAAGTTGAGCATTTGAGATCTAGCAGAATTTAGCAGCAGGCCATTTATAGAACACCACTCAGAAACTTGATCAGTTACTTCATAAGCTTTGACAATTACTTCGGACTTGTCACGTATATGGTGACAAGTTCGATACGAAAACATTTTTTAAATGTAATAATTTGTGATGTTCAATTGTAACCTCAAACAATTGGCATTCGTATTCAAGTAGCGCCTCATTGTGCCTCTACCAGGCTATGATGAATCTAAGAAACACCAACTATACTGCTGAGCAGAGTCTAGGATCAGGTAGTTTGATAGATTAAGGTATTCGATAATGTATCCACAGAATAGAAGTAGTATCTGCGAAGGCATTGTGGGCTTTCTATAAATTCCATCATATAGATATTTTTTTCATAGGTCATTCGAATAGCTTCCTCAACGATAATGAATCTGATGAATCTGTAGTATCCCTACAGAACTCTACGTAGAAATTCCAATCTGAAAAATTCAAGATGTTGCTGTTGTCAGGGATGCAGAGAATATTTCGAGAGCTTTGCTAGAAATCGATTGTTGAAATGTGAAATCCTCGTTGATCCTCGGCTCACCCAAATTTTGACTTTCGAGGGTTGTCGTTTTTAAGGGGCCCACATCTGGTTAACGAAAAAACATATTCCAAACAGATTACTACCCTAAGAAGATTGACCCGGTGAGCATATTTTTAGCAGCAATTATGATCTCCAGATCAATATAATCCACAATAGAGTTCCTTCAAAGTGAAACATCGTTGGAAATGACCCATTGCACATTTATCGTGCCCGAATACCATACCAATAGCATAGATTTACTTTTTCATTATTCTCAGGAACTGAAGAAGACATTTAGAACCGAGTCCTACAGAGCGGCATCAGTTGTTCAAGGCCTCAAAGTCTCAGCCAATACATAATGGGTTGCATAAAATGTCTTACGTTAATCGGTTTAGACCATAAAGAAGTTACGATGCACTGAGAGCTAGGAGATCTGTTGGTAGGTAAGTTCGCGTTTCAAACAATCAATCACTTCATTATTTTTTTCTTTGGTGTCAACATCATCGACAAGTGTGGTCATTAGCCTCTGAGTCAGGGTAGGTTATGTTAATAGCTCCCTAAGACCCCTCGTCATCATGGATATTCACAGTCACGTCAGCTACGTCCGTTCTAGGAATCGTAAGACCTCGTTATTTCTTGTCTCGCACAAGTTAAGACTTATGAGTGTTGTTTGTCGTAGGGATGCGAAATCTTGCGAAAGCTGGTTAACAGAAGAACAGGTTTTGACAGAACAGCTCCCAACAGATGTTACATGGAAGAATCAATTCACATTCAACTGAACACGAGATTATCTGAACGAAGGCAGATTTGATCTCGTCACTTCAGAGTCGAGAGCACTGGGCCAATTCACTGTTGAATATTTCCATTGTCAAGAGATAATCCATAAGAATATCCAGAGATGGATCTCATTCTTACTTTTCAAATGACGGCATATTTTCAATGATAGTTTGAGTGCTTCATTTTTGTAGTTGAGGACGACTATTAATTTTCAAAATATGTTTAATACTTTTAGTGAACAATTATGACTAGGCGTCAAAAACGTATTTCAAAGATAATTATTTTCATTCCTATTTACCTACTTATTACACCGGGTATTGTTAAACTCCATATGCAGTATTTTTAATGGTTCACAATTCAACAATAATTCAAATTCTGAAGTAAACTTATATTTGAAAAAACTCTCAATAATTTACTACTCCTCGGATTTGATTCCTCCATAAAGACAAAAATCGATGAATAGTATCATATCAACGACTATTTAATACAAATTACTATTGCAAAACTTTTGTGGTCTTGTGAAATCCGAACACATTAAAGTTTGTTGAAATTGAAAATTAAAAAACACTGATATTCCCAATATAATTTTTAGGATTTTCACAAGTAGGCAACTTTACAAAGGGAACTAGCAACATTTGAACTGTTTTCTGGAACGACAATGATCAATATTCTCAAAACAAATATATTTGACTTTGAATTTGAAACGAAACATATTGCGATATAAAATCGAAAAGTAAATCAGGTGTACTCGAAAGAATCGAAAAAAAAATTGAACCGAATTTTGGAAATAGGAAACGTTCTTGTTCGATTTTAAGCACTGCCCAACAATTTTTTTCTAAATTTCCATTATCAACTGTTTAATCTAGAGATCAGAGACGACGAATGCATCAATTTTCCCATTCAGACTGCTGAAGGACATTGCCAACTGTTTTGGACTTCTATGTTTTTTTATAAATCACTAGAAACTGGTGAAAATTGAATAAAACTCAATGAAATGGAAATTTATATTATGTACTGTTGGGAGCATTATGCTAATGCATAATTCACAAGATTTGATTGGATAGAATAATAAATCGATTTTCATTTTCAGACTGCAGTTTTTAAAATATGAAAATGTGTTTTTTTCAGACTTCGCGTTGTCTAACACAGACGCTCATACCAGGACATTGCCAACTGTTTGGATTTCTGTATTTTTGATATATCACTGAAAACTAGAGGAAATTTTATCAATCTCAATCGAATGGAAATTTATTAAAATGAAATTGCAATAAATATCAAATTTTCTTCTATGTGTCGTTGGCTGATTTTTTTTCTAATACATAATTCACAAGATTCAATTGGATAGAATAAATAAAACGATTTTCATTTTCAAGACTGCTGTTTCTGAAATATGTGTATAGGTATGTTCTTTTTTAGACTCCACTTGTCTAACGATGACGCTTATATAAGAAAACTAAAATTTGATATTTATTGCACATTCTTTTTTAATAAATTTCCATTCAGTTACGATTTATTCAATTTTCATCAGTTTCCAGTGATATTGTTTTATGTGCCGTTGGCTAATTTTTTTTCTAATACATAATTCACAAGATTCGATTGGATAGAATAATAAATCGATTTTCATTTTAAGACTGTTGTTTTAAAAATATATGTTCTTTTTCAGATTTCCCTTGTCTAACGCTGACGGTCATACAAGGACATTGCCAACTGTTTTGGATTTCTTACTATATCTTTTGATATATCACTGAAAACTGATGAAAACTTAATGAATCTTAATTTAATAGGAATTTATTAAAAATAATGTGCAATGAATATTCAATTTTCCTTTATGTGCCGTTGGCTGATTTTTTTCTAATACATGATTCACAAGATTCATTTGGGTAGAATACGATACATATGAACCTTATATAAAATATAACTCATTTACAGAATAAACCGTAACACAAATTTAAATCATTCTATTTTTGTCGAAAGGACACTTCGACGCATCACTGATAATATTTAAAACGACAATTTGATAACGAATATATTACCTTCAAAACGATCCATTGTAACAATTTCATGTTTCCGAGCTTGAACACCACAATATCGACTTGAATATGTAACTGACAGAGTATATTGGGATTTTTCAGAACGTGTCTTTAATTAATTCAGCTACCATGGTGTTATTTAAATGGTGTTTAAGTATCGCCGGTTTCTAAAGAACTGTACAATTTTCCTGGTAATTCGTCATGTGGTGAGTGAACAGTGGTACCGGGTAAACAAAAGTATCCAATAATATTGCTGTGAAGATGAAAGTGAGTGACAGTCTCCTGTTTCGGAAGAACTCAATTCTTTTGGAATTCCTACACATAAAGAATTTCTTCAATTGATGAGAAAACGAGAAAAAACCCAGCGTGAATGATGTGAAATTTGCGTTTGTTTTCCGCAATGACACAGTTTTTTGAAAAAGGTCACGTGTTCTGGAGATATCAGGAACCAGTATGTTCAATTTATCACAGAAACAGCCCAGCAGAGCAATATAATTTTCACTGATAAGTTCACCAGGAACAGTTGAATTGTCATTTTCAAGTACACCGAACACTTAACTCAATAACCTGATTGTAATTCTTCAAACGTGCCACTGAACTCATTCACAAAATTATGTAAGCAACAACACAACTGTATTCCAAACTATTAAAAGTTCCTTGAACATTTTTGACAGATATATTTCATATTTATATCGCTTATATACAGGATGGATACTTTTCCAAAGAAAACTCTTAGAATTCTGGAAAATGTAAAGTAAGTGTAATATAGGGTCTTTCATTTCATTCATGTTGTGGAATTGGCCGCGGTGGTAGTGCGCCCGACTCACGATCGGAAGGTCGTGTGTTCGATTACCGCCTCGACCAGATATTTTTCTCGAGAGAATTTATCTGGTTGAAGCTGGGATGATTCTGCAACCGTGTTAGGAATCACACGTTGAAAGGGAAGACCTCGTTAGTCCTTAGTTCGCACAAGTTTCTCAACTTCTGAGAGTTGTTGTTCGTATGGGGGCGACAACTGATTAACGGAAAAACAGATTTTAAACAGAAACAGATTCATCTTTAAATCCCTATCCCTACTAATATTATGAATGCAAATGTAAGTTTGTTTGTTACGGTTTCACGCGAAAACTACTCAACTGATGATCATGAAATTTTGTACACATGCTCTTGGAAGTATTACAAGTAACAAAGGATACTTTTTATTAAAGAAAAATATTTTTTATATAAGATTTAAAAAAATCTGTCAAAAAAATCTCAAAATCTAGCTACTTTAACGTCATCTAGCTTTCTAGTAATGAAGTTCCAACCCTTAGTATCGTAATAAAGTCGCACTGTATTATTCAGTCACAACAATATCTAATCCAATCCAATTGACTATAATTTCAGCTATATTTATTTTTATTTTCTTATGTCATTTTTATTTTTAGGTTAGGTTAGGCTATCTTTTAAAATTTTAAGAATTGAAAATTATTTAGTTTTGTTATAGTGAAATATAATTCAACATTTGTTGTTGCAATTCAATGAAGCATGGCGGGTTCGCTACACTTGTTCATCTTTCACTGCCTGAACCACTGTGCATGTTGTTTTTGGTGAGTGTATTAGCTTGAGATGTGGGGGTTGAGCAAACTGGCCATAGGGTGCCTGCTTCCACGTAGCCCCGCTGGATACGGGAATGACAGAATCACTTGTGGTTCTGTTATTCTCTAACTGAATGGCATCCCAACGATAGTTTAATCGTAAGGTGTGTGTATCGGTCCCGAGGGGATTAATGACACTGAGCCTATCAACTGTCTCTACGGAACCTTCGAGATAACGGGCGCCCTCTCGTCGTAGCATCGCCTTGTCACGGTAATGCGGGGCTCTGCCGTGATTGACATTCTTTCCCTAGCTACTCGTGGGACTTTTATGGGCAGAATAAACTTAAAAATTTTTTCTGACGCTGAGTCTATAGAGGAGATGGATGTCGAGCTTACGACTCCAACTGACCTCCCTGTAAATTTAGATCAGTAGCGAATCTACAGAGGAGATGGATGTCGAGCTTACGACTCCAACAAACCTCCCAGTAAATTTAGTTCAGGAGCGAATCTACAGAGGAGATGGATGTCGAGTTTACGACTCCAACGGACCTTCCTGTGAATTTAGTTCAGGAGTTAATCTACAGAGGAGATGGAGCTTACGACTCCAACTGATCTTCCTGTGAAATTTAATCCAGGAGCGAGTCTCCAGAGGAAATGGATGTCGAGTTTACGACTCCAATGGACCTCCCTGCCTCCCTGTAAATTTAGGTCAGGAGCGAGTCTACAGAGGAGATGAATGTCGAGTTTACGACTCCAACGGACTTCCCTGTGAATTTAGTTCAGGAGTTAATCTACAGAGAGGATGGAGCTTACGACTCCAACTGATCTTCCTGCAAAATTTAATCCAGGAGCGAGTCTACAGAGGAGATGGATGTTGAGTTTACGACTCCAACAAACCTCCCAGTAAATTTAGTTCAGGAGCGAATCTACAGAGGAGATGGATGTCGAGTTTACGACTCCAACGGACCTCCCTGTGAATTTAGTTCAGGAGGTAATCTACAGAGGGGATGGAGCTTACGACTCCAACTGATCTTCCTGTAAAATTTAATCCAGGAGCGAGTCTCCAGAGGAAATGGATGTCGATTTTATGACTCCAACGGACCTCCCTGCCTCCCTGTAAATTTAGGTCAGGAGCGAGTCTACAGAGGAGATGAATGTCGAGTTTACGACTCCAACGGACCTCCAAGTCTACAGAGGAGATGGATGTCGAGTTTACGACTCCAACAAACCTACCAGTAAATTTAGTTCAGGAGCGAATCTACAGAGGAGATGGATGTCGAGTTTACGACTCCAACGGACCTCACTATGAATTCAGTTCAGGAGAGAGTCTACAGAGGAGATGTATGTCGAGTTTACGACTCCAACGGACCTCCCTGTAAATTTAGTTCAGGAGTGAGAGTTGCGGCGTACGCAGAATCTGTCTCAGGTCGTGGAACTAACCCCCCATGAGCAGGTTAGCAAACGTTTGCGCTCAAGTGAGGTATCACCAAAACCAGAGGCGAAAAAGCCCTGCACGGCTGAATCTAAGGCATCGTCAGGTGTAGCTGACGTGCAAAAACCCTCATATGGGAAGGTTGTCGTGGGTATCAAGGTGGGAATCTTGCAACTTGACTATCCAACTACCTCATTAACAGAGCATATACTTTGTGCCTGCCCCGCAGGGGACCGAATCAGGTCTTTGGAGCTCGGCAGAGCCGTACTCCTACCATCTGACCTGAAAGACCACTCACCATACAAACTAATCGGCTTCATTAAGAAGCTGGGTTTGTTTGGCCGAGTGAGAGTAGGTGTGAGCCACAATTAACCCTTGCGGGTTGCGGTGGAGGGTCGAATAGACCCACTCACTTTGGACCTTACCTAACCAATGAAGCATATTTAAAATTTTCGAAACTTCCTTGTTTGTAATAATTTAAAAAAATTGATAATCCCAGTCAAGCATTAAAATATAGCTCTCATATTCATATTCATATATTCATTTCTATTGTACTGACACTTATTTAATGGCATAAATGCGAGCGAAGCCACGAGTAAAAGCTAGTATTAAATAAAACAAAGTGTGTTTGAGACATCATCAAACTTTTTACTCGTTTGAAAGATCTATTGATGCCTTTATGTGTGGAGTATAACATCTTTATATCCATTTGTGAGTAATATTTCAAAGTTTACCATGTCCGCCTATTTACTTCCAAAAGTCTGGAATCATTACGCACCACAATGGAGAGTCAACATATGAACTTCACGTTCTAGCTACCTACAATTCCAGCTACACGCTGGTGATACGAGTTATTAATACGGAATCATAACAGCCATTTCATCTTTTCTCATATAGGAAGTTACCTGCGAAGAGTCTTACAAATGGTTTGATTTCCACTTTTTACGCGGTATTAGCTTTGGTTGCATTGAGGTATATCCTCATTACGACAGGCTAGTTAGAAATTTGCTAGATGAAAATTATCCAAACAGGTCCATAGGTAAATGTGATCTTTGAGAATGGATCTCTAGTTCACCGGATATAAGGCCCTTTGATTTTTGTAGCGATTCATGTCTATTTCAGAGAATATGGATGATATAAAAGTTTGTTCTAACGAAGTTACTCCAGAAACATTTCTTGACATAAGAAATGCATTTGTAAAATAACTTCATTATTGTCAGGAAGTCTACGGTGAACATTTTCAATATTAATAAACTGGAGTGAGTTTTCAGTACATATTTTCTTGAAATAATGATATTTATCGTTTGTTGGCAGTTTCTCAAAACCAATATGAAACTGCTAATTATTCAGGAACGGCTCATCAGATTTCCAAAAATGAAACATGTTTGAATAGAAAATTGAAATATCTATCAAACTGGTTATTACAAGACCTCCTTTCCATTCCAATAAATAGTTGGCGGCGCCCTCTTGGTGACGAGTAGGGAAACACTATTTTCTCCTTTTTCAGAAAGTAATAAAAATTATATATTTTTATGTGAATTTTGTCCGATCATATTCTGATATATTGTCTGGTTTAGAAGTTACTTATGATGCACTGTTTGGAACCTTTGGTGTAGTAATGAATATTACTGGAGTTTTTTCCCAACACCAAATCCTTATTTTTAATACCTCGACACGTGTTTCGATCACCAAGTGAAGATTAAATCTTCCTCTTTGAAGATGATCACTTGGTGATCGAAACATGTGTCGAGGTGTTGAAAATAACGATTTGGTGTTGGGAAAAAACTCCAGTAATATTCATGGTTAAAAAGTGAAAAGGGGTGGGACTATCTACAATGCAGCATCCTGAAGTACTTCCTAAAGTACTACTTTCGGAAAGTGTAAAGTTCTATTTTTCAGTTGGGTTTGTGAATGTATCAAATAATTATTCTAAATACTGATTTTCTTCTTTATGACATAATCATCTTACTGGAGAGAAATTCAAAAAGTCGAAATCTATATCAGAGATGCCTGTATTTTCAACCACTCTCGTGTTTTCTTATTTTGAAAGGAATGAATTCGTATATATAATGTCTTTGTTGGTGGTGTCAACAGTTGACACGCCAGGAAGAGTACTTCGACACGGCACTGAAGATGACTGCCGCAGTTGCAGTTGAATTGTTTGGAGATTATAACCAAAAAAGATCACGGCAAAACCTGAAGCTGGGACATTTTCATTGTGAATTTCCTCCTTCTCCAGAGTCTTTCATTTTTATTTCCTGAATATTGATATTTTCTGAGGTATTAACGAAAAACTAACTGTCTCTTTTTTTCTTCATTTTATTTTGTTAAAAACAATTGCCCCGTATCTGTATCTGTAGAGTAGGAAGGGTAAGTGTAAGCACTTAGGCAACATGTGACCCATTGTACATCCTCCCGATGAGTTGTCTTCCTAGGTCATCTCCTTTATATCGGCAGGTGTAGGCCAAGGCTCGCCGAACACACACTCTCTTATTGACGATAACTCCGGGCACTCGCACAGGACATGCCTGACAGTCTAATCTTCCTGTTCACACATCCTGCATAGAGGTGCGTCCACTAGCCCCATATTATGGAGGCGTTTCCGTAGTTGACAGTGGCCAGTCAGAAATCCTACTATAAGGCGTAGATTTTTCCTGGTCATCGCCAGATATTTCTTCGGCGC